AAGGGCTGTCATTTAGAGCTGCGGTGGCTCAATTTATTTATTTTTTATTTATTAATTAGACTTATATCCCTCCCTCCCCCGTAGGGCTCAGAAGTGGTTAAGACGCTGAACTGCAGGCTGTGGAAGGTCAGTAGTTCAGCAGTTCGAGACCCGGGTGCCGCATGATGAAGTGGGCTCCCGTCTCTAGTTCCAACTCCTGCCAACCTAGCCGTTCGAAAGCAAGAAATTGCAAGTAGATAAATAGGTACCACTTCGGTGGGAAGGTAACCTTGTGCCTTGGTGTTTAGTCATGCCGGCCACATGACCATGGAAACATCTTCGGACAGCGCTGGCTCTTCGGCTTTGAAACAGAGATGAGCACCGCAACCCTAGAGTCGGATTCGACTGCCGCTCACTGGCAGTCTTTATGCAGCGGCTGGACAAACACTTGTCAGGGACGCTCATCTAGGCTGATCCTGCATTGAGCAGGGGGTTGGACTGGATGGCCTGTATGGCCCCTTCCAACTCTGTGATTCTGTGGTTCTATGAAAAGCTCCAGTCAGAATCGTTCTGTGATGACTGAAAAACAAAACAAAACAAAAAACTTCTTATACATTGTAGATCTATTTCAACCACTAAGGACAGCAGGGGAGTTATGGTATATCCCAGTGTATAACAATTTATTCCTAGCATTTCTCTGTCTCATCTGGAATCAGTGTTGCAGCCATTTTCTCCAGGGGAACTGATCTCTATAGTCTGGAGGTCAGTTGTAATAGCGGGAGAGCTCCAGGGCCCTCCTGGAGATTGGCAATCCTATGTCTGCTGCATTGGATAAACTTAACATTTACTAATGGGCTGCATGTGCATTGCAGTAAGTTTCTTCACTGGAGCAAATACTGACTCCCAAAAACAGCTTAAGCGCCCCTTCTCCTCACACACAATGATGGAAATCGGGTTCCCAGAGGGGAACTAGCCATATACATCTGGCAGAACATGTGAATCAGCCCTCAGAAATCGTCAGTGAGCTTCTGAAGAACCCCAGGAACCCTGTGAATATCACTGCATAATGCCATGTTGGTTCTTGGATTCTCAAGCTATTTTAGGTAAGGCTTTCAGTTCTCTTTCTCCAAATAAGAACATAAGAAGAGCCCTGCTGGATCACACGAATAGTCCATCTGGTCCAGCATCCTGTCTCACACATTGGCCAGCCAGTTCCTTTGGACGCCCAACAACAGGGCATAGGGGCCAATCTGCTCCCTCGATGAATCCCTGATGTCTCTGTGATTCAGAGGCCTAGTGCCTCTGAATGTGGAGGTTCCCCTCAGTCACCATGGCTAGTAGCCATTGATCTCCATGAATCTGTCTATTCCTGTGGCCATCACTACATCCTCTGGCAGTTAATTCCATATTTTAATCACTCTGTATAGTAGTATTTCCTTTTGTCTGTCTTGAACTGACTACCCATCAGCTCCATTGGATGCCCTTGAGTTCTAGTATTTTGGGAGAGGGAGAAAAAGTTCTCTTTGTTAACTCTCTCCATCTAGTGCATGATTTTATAAAATTCTATCATCTTTTTTTCTGAAGTGAAAAGTCCCGGACTCTTCAGCCTTTCCTCATTGGGAAGGTGCTCCAACCCTCGAATCATCTTAGTTGCCCTCTTCTGTACCTTTTCCAGCTCTTATGCCATCTTGCAAGTACACTCTTCAGCCAGCCAGATTCTCCTTGGGCCCACAACCTTGTGTTTCATATTTCCACTCCACCTTTCCATGGAAAAACCTTTGTCCACCCCTCTGAGAGATATTTCATGGGGAAGATCAGGGCTATTTTTGGGCAGGAACGCACAGGAACGGAGTTCTGGCTGGCTTCCAAGTTGGCCATGCCCAGCAGGAACTCATTAGCATAATAGGCCACACTCAACATCAGAAATTCATTAGGACTGGCTACATTAGGGGTGTGTGGCCTAACATGCAAAGGAGTTCCTGCTCCAAAAAAAGCCCTGGCGTTTTGACAACAAACAAGGTAAACAGAATAAGAAGCAAAAGGTGGGTGTGGCTGGATGAGCACACTTCTGGTAACATGGGGGTGTGGCCTAATATGCCAATGAGTTGTGCTGTCAGGGGTGTGGCCTAATATGCTAATTAGTTCCTGCTGGGCTTTTTCTACAAAAAAAGCCCTGGGGAAGATTCGTTCTGCCTACAACTATCTTCTTTTTAAGTGTGTGTCCGTAGAGTAGACAGGAGTTTCATGGAAGAGAGTCGGGGTGACGGAGGCAAATGGAACACTGGACAGACAGCTTGTTCGGAGGGGCACCAGCTAAAGATAATTTGGGGGCTTCTAGTTTAACAAGCATGTACAGGAGGCAGGTTTGTGTGTCTGGAAATTCCGGCACCAAAGTTAAAACTAAACGGTAAATGAGAGTTTACCAGAGACCAGGAAATGTCAGGGGTGAATGTTTAACAATAACAGGTTTTTTTACAAAATATTGACTACTTACAGGGCTTTGGCAGGTCATGGTTTCAAAGTGTCAGATGAAGCCAACTCTCTATTAATAGACTTTTAAAAAAATCCATCTCTTCAGCTTTTGGCCCTAAACCAAACAGAACTCTTTTTTTCTTTCCTTTGCTTCCCCCCCCCTTCCCCCTCTTGTTTTGCTTTTAAAATAATCACATGAGATGTCAGACTCAAAGAAGCCATCTCCTCTGAGGGAACTTCTAGTCTATTAATTGGCTGGAAGTCCTAGTGCTGAGGAAATCTCCCCAGAATCTGAGGAACAAAATCTAACTTTCATCTTCTGGGTGGGACTGGGGGAAACACAAGGCCTTTCACCCTGCCTGCCCTAGAAGTTTAGAGTGGGCGCTTCAGATATGCACTTAAAGGAGGAGAGGGGGTAAGGCAGAGAAGTATCAAATCCAGGGCTGGCCTGACCACGAAGCAAACCTCGGCAATCACCTAAGGGCCCAGATTTTGAGGGGCTCCAGAAAGGCGAGAGGAGCCTTTCACAGGGAAGCCAAAGGAAAGCCCCCGCCCACCAGCAGCCTTTCCCCCCTTCCGCCTCCTTGCCCTGTTATCGCTGTTTCCACTGCTGCTGCGCTGCCACCACTACCCAAAGCCCAGCTAAGAGAATAACGTAGAGTGGGGCTGGAGGCACCTTTGGCCACTGCTGCTGCAGCCAGTGGGGAGGGTGGGAGCAGCTATGAAAACCAAAGAAGCACTGAGGCAAGCTGGAACTGTGGTGGTGGTGGCAGCTCCTTCCTCATTTGAGACCCCGTGGGGGGATGAGGAAGGGGGACGAGGTGGCTTACAGAGAATCAGCAGCAGCAGCACGTCTCCCAGAGCTGAGTAGCTGAAGGCTACCCTCTCCTCCTCCTCCCACCCCTCTTCGCCCCCTTCAGTGGCCGCGTGGAGGAGGAGGAGGAGATTGGATTTATACCCCGCCCTTCACTACCCAAAGGTGTCTCAGAGCGGCTTACAAACTCCTTTTCCCTTCCCCTCCCCACAACAGACACCCTGTGAGGTAGGTGGGGCTGAGAGAGCTCTGACAGAAACTGCTCTTTTTTGAGAACAGCTCTTATCAGAACTAAGGCTTGCCCAAGGCCATCCAGCCAGGTTCAAGTGGAGGAGTGGTGAATCAAACCCGGCTCTCCCAGATTAGAGTCCGCACACTTAACCACTACACCAAACTGGAGTGTCAGTACCTCACAGTCACCTCAGAAAGAGTCGCTTCCTGGTACCGAGATTCATGTCCGAGAGCACCTTAGAGACGAACAAGGGCTGCGGTCACACGGGCAGGAAACTGCGGGGGGGGGAGCGCCGCAATTAG